ATGCCACAATTCAGGGCATACGGGTAAATGTTTATTAAAAACCTAGTAAAACACATTAAAGAACATAAAATACATAAAGTGCTTAAAATACATAAAATACAAAAGTCATATGGCAACAGCCCGTAAGCTTTGCGGGCGAGCAATACACTTGAACAAAATTAGCTATCTACAATTAGTCGGAATATTAAATCTTTAAGAAAACAGGACAAATATATCTGGCATGTATGTCATGAAAAGTCCAGGTCAGCAGACCCTAAACTATGGATTAAAAGCACAATTAAATTTAAAACACCAGCAATATTAGAAGCAAATAAAATATAAATTGCTATTCCAGGTCAACAGACCCTTATATTGAGGCAATCAAATGGTATAAAATATAAAAACTAATCATTGGGCAAATTGCCTATTAAGGAAACAATTAAACGAGTTACAAATAGTAAAATCACCAAAAATAGTGTTGAAATAGTAAAAGTGGATTAAAATGGTGCGAATGACGTGGACAGTTCAAATCCAACCCAAGAACACCATGAGATTTAAAAATTTTTAAAGTCACTAAAAGTCCAGTTTAAAGGATAGTCATCCTGGCTAAAAATCAAAATCGCTGAACCAGAGTCTCCTGTGATGAGGTAATTTAAGCGAGAAAATTAGAGTTGACTCAGGAGAAATGGAAACGCTGATCCATACGGTTGTTGGACAGCCAGAGTTAGTAAAAATTTACAGTGGGTTGAATGTATCTTTTAAAGTTGTTTTGATAATGTCTTTGATGATTGATCTGCAGGTCAGGTTAGAGTAAATCTGGTGTTCTGTTTTGTTGTGAAAATTGTTGCCTCGTCGTGTTTGAAATTTAGGACATTGAAAAATTAGGTGATGAATGTCTTGTTGTGAGCTGCAATAAGTACGTGTTGAAGATTTCCCAAAAAATTTTGCTTGGTGTGTGCCAAACACGCCGTGGCCGGTTAAGAACTGATTAATATAAAAGTCTGCCTTCATTCTTGTAGTTTTTGGATCCTTAAAAAATTTGTAAGTCTGCCGTCCTTTTGTACTGTTGGTCCAGTCCAATTTCCATCCAGCCATAATATGGTTGTTGATTATAGATTTGATCTGAATGGGAGTTAGCCAGGTAGTCTTTTCTATGGTGTCAAGTGTGACGGCTTCTTTGGCTAGTTGGTTCGCCTCCTCGTTGCCGGCATGCCCCGCGAGTGCTTTAATCCAATTGATGAGATACTCTGTCTCCAAGCATGTTTTATGTCATGAACAATCGTATTTTCATGTGTGGGGTCAGCCAGTGCATGCAATGAGGAAAGTGAATCTGTATAAATTTTAGTTTGTTCTTTCTGTTTTGTTGCATAATTTATTGCTTCTCTGATCGCCATAAGCTCGGCCTCAAAAACTGAGCAATAATCGGATGATCTGGAGGAGGTCTTGGCAATAGTGATGCCATTATACTTTATGATTACTCCAAAACCTGTCCTGAAGTGTTGAGGTTTGACCTACATCCTGGAGCCATCCACATATATTTCTAAACCATTATTATTTGGAGAGTTATATCCCCAAGGCACAGCGAGTTCAGTGGCGGGGTGAACTGGGGCTTTTGTAGTAATGTTCGTTTTTTTCAAGATGGAATCAATAACTGTCCTTTGAATAACGGGAAGAATGTCATCTATTTTTCAGCCCCATTTAATGCGTTTGTTGAAGATTGTCTCAATAACCTTAAAATGAATAGGTTTAATGCCCACCAGTATCTGGATAGATTCAGTGCTTGCTGTGGAATAGCACTTTGTGATTGTGAGAAGTGGTATTCTTTGTATGGATGCAAGTTTACCCATTTTAGTAAAACGCACTTCACAGCTGAAGTTATTAACAAATGGCTGCCCAAAGTAAAAGTGATAAAATAATTAATGTCGATGTTTAAAATTGGTGGTAAGCATACTAAATGCGGCTTTAGAAAGTGTTAAGCCAGAAATTTATTGACAAAAGTCTAAAAATAGCGATGCTTATTCAGTACGAAAATACAAATAAATATTTCTGTACGACAATATATCAGTACGAGGCAAATATTTCAATACGAGAACAAAAAAGAAGACAAATATACATCACAGCAATTTTGGGACACTTTTTCTTTGGTATGACATCATAAAAACTTTAAAATTATGTTTTAAAATCAGCCATTACTAAATTCACTCAAACATTACAAAACACTCACTAGGTGTAAAGAAATGTGGTGAACTACCACTTTTTTCGTATTGGTGCTTTTCCATTTTCTAATTTTATATAAGTTATGTCATTGACCACATTCACATTGAGATATGTCATTATGTAAGTTATGCCATTGGGGTTGAGGTATTAATGTGTTAAATTTGGACAAGATTTAAAATTTTTTTGCCAAAAATTTTGAATCATTAATTAATTTACTACCACTTTGGAAAATCATTCTCAGAATGAATAAACGTTTATATTAATGTTGTTAAGTCTAACCCTCGTTCGTAAACATCAGGTGTGCCAACTACTCTGCTTTCTGGAAACAATTTTAATAAATTGGTTGTGAATTAAATAATCAAACTTGTAAAGAAAGGATAATTATGCCTCCTCTTGAAAAGAGTTCCCACGAAATAACTGCCATAAAGTTGCATTGCACTCGATGCATTGAATTTTTGTTATGTAGTGGTGGAAAAATTATTTTAACAGAATAATACTAAACTAAAAAAATCTTAAATTACAATAGCACTAGAAATTTTTTTTTACCAAGCACAGCAAGTGGGCATTTCCGATAAACACTTGTAGATTTCAATGACGTGAGTGCAGAACCGTTGTTGACAAAAAATCTTTTTGGACCTATTTAGTAAAAACCTATATAAGAATAACCTCATTACTTTTCTTCAATTTTAAATTTTATTTTATTTTTCTGCACTTTCTACTTTAATTTATTATTACTTTACTTGTTTACTTTAATTTTTTTTTTACTTTACTTTATTCCCTAACTTTGACGTAAAAAAAATTTAATGTGTAATTTGTATGACATTTTATAATGTCTAACACCTAAAGCAAAGTTCCCACGGTCCTTGAAAATTTAAAAAAGTGGTAACAAAAGTAAAACAAATTTTGATATTTTAATTTCTGTGTAGCCATCACTAAAAATTGTTTTCTAAAAAAATATATATGCATGAAAATTCCAGCACTTAACGATAAAAAGGTATATTAGAATAAAAAAATATATTGTAGCATCAGTCTAAATTTACTACCACTTTTAAAATTTTTTAAGGACCGTGGGAACCCTGTAAAAATTTTTAATTGTAACAGTTTTAATTACAGTGTTTTCCTGAAATGTTTAGAAAAAAATTATGGTACATTTTTGGACATTCGCATGCTTACCAACTAGTACGGTCGTTGAAAAAGAGTTTTCAAAGTAATTGTAAAACAACAATTAAATTCTGAAGAATATTTTTAAAAATTAAACTGATTAAATATTTAAGAACATAATAAGCCAACAAGTAGAATTTACATGCACATATTTTAATTATTGATTTGTGATCGCAGGTCAAAAACAAAATTTTTTTTTTAAACTTTGAAATTTAAAATTTATTACATTGTTGCTACCACTAAGAAAATAATTTTTAATCAATCATACAAATTGGCAGTTATCCTTTCTACAAGCGCTTCGTAGTGAAGTCAAAAAACCCCAACATTGCCCTACAAAGACTTCAAGGAAAACTGAAGGAAATCCAAAGTAAACGGACAAAAATCAAAACTACTAATCATTCAGCATAGGAGAAAAACCATCCTCCCTAAAAATCAAATTGTTCTCTTCAATGAAATTATTCCCATAGTCAAAAGCGCAAAATACCTTGGTCTGGTCATTAACAGCAAATTTAATTGGAAAGATCACGTCAAAACAGTTATCAACAAAGCACAAGCAGCCTGCCACAGATTACAAATCCTTCTTCAGAACCCCAAAATGGAACTCAGATTTAAACGTTTACTCTACATCTCGATGGTCCGTCCCATCCTGACTTATTCATCTCCAGCTTGATGCAACGTCTCCACATCACTCCTTAAAAAACTCAAAACATGCCAGAACAAAATCCTCAGGAGAATAACAAAAGCAAGATGGTTTATCCGAAAAAAAAAACATACATCGCGACCTTAATATAGATTTTTTAGATCATCATATTGCAAAGCTAAATTTCAGATTTTTTGAAAAAACCATAAATTGTGACACCGCAGGATTCAACGAAATTTTTACTTTTGAAAACTTAAGAGAAGACATAAACCTCAGGCCGATGGCAGCTTACTTTTGTAGTGACGTAATTTTATCTAAAATTCAAAATATTTAAATTCCTTTTACTCCAATTGCATTCCAATTACCAGAAAGAACTACCCTAAAGATCACAATTCAAGACGAATGGGAAAAAGGCAGCTAACGGCCCCAGGCGCCCAGATAAATATTGATGATGATGATTCAACAAACGCTCCCGACATCAATAGTATATACATAACCTTACTTTCCCTTATTAACCTTATTTAAGTTATACCTTATATTTTTACATTGTGATCTTACATGCATATCGCTCATTTGGTAAAACAGTGACGTAACTGCAAAATCAAGTTACGTCATTATTTCACCAAATGAGCGATACGAAAAATTATTTTTCCTTTGAAAAACATTCACCAATGGCAAAAAAAGGATAATTTCGGATTTCTTTATTTTATTTTTTAACATCTCTTTCGATATTTGAGCGAGAATAGAGTGTTCTATACATCGCTCATTTGGTGATACAATGACATAACTTGATTTTGCAGTGACGTCATTGTTTCACCAAATAAGCGATATAACTTCACTGTCAAAATTCAATGATCTTTATCCACATGAATACTCCTTTACTTCATTTACATTCCACAACCTCATCGAAACACCACAAAGTTCATGCTAAAGATGAATGGAATGAGCCTTAAGTGCCCAGAAATTTAATACAATCAATTATTCAACAAACACAAAAAAAAAATTAAAAGCAAATTAAATCAGACTTTATTTATTGATGATTTACATTTCAGAAAAAGATGGCAATCATTTTCTACTCCATCTTACTGACCAACTTGTTGACGAGAGTTGGAAGACCTTTCAATACATCCAAAGCCGTTCCCAATGGCAACCTAATTGGCAAGCAGAGTCCCAAGTTGGTTTCTAATCCATGGTTTCTTCCACATTTGTCACAACAAAAAATCAAACAAGAGCACAGAGTACAAGAACAGATATAGTATGCATCTGAAATACAAAACAAGACCTAATATAAAAATTGGGTTAGTACAGTGTTTTCAAAAACGCTCTTGGCCGATACAAGTAGCTATAAAAAAAGTCAATGCATCTGCAAATGAAAAGTGTAAAAATTTGTTAGTGTTTCTAACTCTAACTAAAGTAGCAGGGAATTAGCGATAAAGCAAAGCTCAAAATTTCCAACGTGATTACCACTTTAACTCCTTCAGTGCAGCGGACGAGATAACTCGTCTTCCAGGCATATTCGCTCTGCTCTAGTGTTGTATCAGTGAATATGATTACTGATTGCAATTGATAATTTTTTTTAAGTGAAATAAACAAAGTTTAGAGGCATTTGCGTTTTGTTTCAATTTTAGTGCTGCAGGGGAACTCAAAGTAAACAAGGAGGGACAAAGGCAAGTCATTTTCGCGATGAAAGTGTTAATTTTAAAAGATTTTTCAAATCAAAATTTATTATTTACTCAATTAACCCTTTCTGGTTCAATGCATCCAGCCTGGCAACATTAATTCAATTGTTGCAAAGAACTAGAAATGTATAATTAATTGTTTTGAACGATAGCAACAACTATTTTTTTAAACAAAGAGCTAAAGTATGTCGCTTCCCTTAGAATTCATCTAAGTGGAAACAAGTGCCTTTGGCTCACGACTTTCAAAAATGAAATAATTAATTATATATATTATTAATAATAATAATTAATTATTATATTAATAATAATTTTGGAGAAGAATTTCGAGATAGCAACAATTTTTTTTTAAACAACAAAGAGCTAAAGTATGTCGCTTCCCTTAGAACTTATCTAAGTGAACACAAATGTCTTTGGTTCACAGCTTTTAAAAATGAAATAATTAATTATATATATTAATAATAATAATAATTCATTATTGTATTAATGATCAGTTTGAAGAAAAATTTAGAGGTAGCAACAACTATTTTTTAAACAACAAAGAGCTAAAGTGTGTCACTTCCCTTAGAATTCATCTAAGTGAACACAAGTGTCTTTGGTTCACAACTTTTAAAAATGAAATAATTAATTATGTTTATTACTTATAATAATTAATTATTATATAAATAATCAGTTTGAAGAAAAATTTCGAGAATTTCTGCGTTGTATGGATTAACAAATGTAATAATTATAAAAAAATGAAATAAATAATTATGTTTATTACTTATAATAATTAATTATTATATAAATAATCAGTTGGAAGAAAAATTTCGAGAATTTCGGCGTTGTATGGATTAACTCTTTGTGTGATTTCTCTTCAAATTTTTTAAAATATAAAAATCTTGTATTTAACAGATTAGCTGAAATTTTTCTGTCCCTCAAATAGCAGTATTAAAAGCAAACGCTTTTAACAGAGATACCCACTGCCACGCTTTCAGGTATATGTTTTATAAAGTGATGGAGATTTAAACACTAAAATAAATAATAAACTAAAATAATCGGAATTTTGGTTAATTTTGTCAGCATTTTAAAAGTCTCAATACGTGAAATTTGGAATAAGGTAGCGTTTCACATGAACTACTGAATTATTCACACACAGGTGGGAAAAAATTACTTGAAATCAAATTTATTAATCTAAGAACCATGCATTAAAAGATAAACTTTGCCACCACTAGAACATATTTTCCCTTAAAACGGAATATCTGGAGTAAATAAAATGTATATTTACGAATTCTTAAGTAGTTCCAATTGGAAGTGGTTAGTAACATTTGTTAAATTGGTATTGCCAGACTGGCCAAAACTCCTTCAGGTGTAGTGTTGCCATACTGGCTAAACTACATCTGAAGGGGTCAACTCGATACTGGGATGTGAATTGGGAACTTGAACTTCACACGAAAAAGATCACAATACCCGCACATGTGACCGATGAGATTTTATATAACTTAGACTTATTATTTTATCTCTTTTATAGTACCCGGGATATATTTTTGCTTTGTGTACCTGGCAACTTCGATACATAATTAGTTTGTTTATGTTCTACATGACTTCGTGCCTGTCTTTGTGTTTAGTAAGTTATATATTAAAAGAATTTAAATCTTTGCGAAAGAATAAACAATGTGTTACTTAAGAGAATTGATACTTGAAAGGTTTGAACTACTCGAAATAAAATGAAAAGAACGGTTGCGTACGTAAACGAATCTCGAGTTTCAGCAACCAATCTGGATCGAGATACCCACATTACGTCACTTGCAGGTATACCATTGCTATGTGTTTAGCAAACGATTTCTAAGTGGTAGAAAACTAAAAACTTGAAATTTCGGTTCATTAAAACTCACTTCATTAAAAATTCACGTCATTAAAAATTCACTTCATTAAAAGCCAACCCTTAAAATTATGGAACTGAACAGGTCCGCATGGGCACGCGGGGAGCTTGCAGTTTAATTCCCATTAAACTAGAATTTTAAAAAAGTCAAAAAACTAAATTTCAAACCACTAACAGAAACGGTTTTAGAGTTAAAAGAAAAACACTCAAGCCTCACTGGTAAATTCTACATTTTATTTTTATAAATAAATCTGATTATTGTTTTGACTATTCTACTGTAACTTCTGTTAGAGATATTTATTGTAAGATAGCGTATGTAGATATTTATTTCAAAATACATACTAGTTTTCAACTAGTATGCATTTTGAAATAAGGGCTTTTGTCTCAATTGTTCCTTTAAAAGGAATTTTCTGGTAGAAACAGAAAGGTTTATTAGAGTTCGCGACGAAATTTCTTCATTCATTTTTGCTCAAGAGAGGCTAGATTTATGAAATATTATTAAGAATGCATGACAGACTAGATCTTTTGATGAATGATTAACTATAAAAAGCTGAATGCAAGTGGCGTTAGTGATAAAAAAAATATTTCTTCTGCGTTACTATTTCTGATTAATTTTCTCACCAAAATCTATAGTTTACGCCGTCAACAAAATATTCAAGAATTATAATCATCTATTGCGCAATTACGGACTACTTATTTTTTTGCCTTTCTATTATATAGGATATATCAAGTAGAGATCAAAATTATCTCCCAAGGAGATAATTCAATTGGCAAACAATTATTTAGGATGACATCAAGTAGAGATCGAAATTATCTCCCAAAGAGATAATTCAATTAGCAAACTATTATTTAGGATGACATCAAGTAGAGATCAAAATTATCTCCCAAAGAGATAATTCAATTAGCAAACAAATAATTTACCAAAATGAGTGTTATTATTCAAAAGATCTCACGCAACTCACTCATTTTAACTATTGATTTTTTTCTAAAATTTTTAGTTTTATTTAAGTCTAGTGCTTAAATCTACGTAAAGACAGCAGAATGTTTTTATGTATGTGTGCATGTAGCTTATACAAATCCGCATTTTTAAACCGACCACACCAAATTTAATGTAAATAAGTTCGAAGACACTGACATCTTTGAAATCCCTTTCGATCACCGGCTCGCGCTTTACATTCGAAAAATTCCATTGTATTTGATAAATATTCTGCAAAATGAATAATTTCCTAACTTGCAGCACTAATCTATCAAAAATTAGTTTTATGGTAGGTTTTTATGAAAGATCCTATGTTAGGTAATAAAGTAAGCAGGAACTTTATTAAAGTCGCAATAGAGCTGCGCTATGAGGTATTAGCGACTGCCTGGGAAACATCCCTGAGGATGATCCGAAGACATTTTTTTTTTGTCGCATGCCTGTTTTAGACAGAGAGGGTGCGATTGGTCTTGTTTTTCAGTGGCGTGGGAATCGTGTTTCAATGATCAGTCCACTGCGGGACATTTAATTTTAGCGTTAGTAATTTCACGACGTACGCTGACTTCGTCATTCAATTCGTATTTTAAAAAGTATTTGAAAACAAGTATTTTTTTTAATCTAGATACGTATATCTTTAAAGCATATTTCTATAAACTTAGATAGTGGTAAATCAACAAGAATTTATAGAATAAGAAGAATCGAAGTTATGTATTCAGAAAGGAAACAATTCTTTAAAATTCTGAATATCACAAGTTGAATGATACTATATGCATAATTATATGTAATTGAAGAATTGAACTTCTACTTCATATTATTGTAGATATAATAGTATGAAGTTACAACAGATATGCGTCATGAAATAAGGAATAAAGGTTGCGTATTGGGTGCCATAAATGTGCAGTATGGTTGATATTATGGTACTTATCCGTTTCAGAAGTTGGTTAAAATCTAATTACTACAGTACATATATTAGGCATTTATGCTGGTACGAAAGGATCTCATTACCACAGAGCTTATAACAGCAATGCCAGTAGCATTTATTACCTCATTAAATTAATGTTCACTGGCGTCGATTTGGCGATTTTTTACGACCTTCCAAATAAGAGATATAAAAATTATTATAAAGATATTAGTGTCGTTACTGGTCATTTTCGAGAATTACAATTAAGTGATTTTGGTGATAGAAAAAAATCAAAAATTAATGGAGAAAAGGTATTTGCTTGTGTGTGCAAATCGTTAAAAATTAAAGTTGTTATTGAAGCCAATAGTGCATAATTTCGGTAATAGGTTCTATTGCAATTATCTTGGTTTGTGTTTTTAGTAGGAACTAACTAAACTAATACTGGTAACGAGATACCCATTATAGGTACTGCGGAAATAGGATTTTTTGGTTCATCGAAAAGTATAAGAACTGGTGAGAATTATTAAGTATGGTAATTTTTAACTATCAGGAATTGATCTCAAGCTAGCTATGAAGCTATATTCCAAATGCCTCTGAATAAAATGATGGAATGAAATTCTAAAAACATGTTTTGCTGAATCTGATAACATAAAGCCATAAAGGAAAGGTAGCAAATAATAAAAATTAAATGATATTTGAAATTGTTCTTAACTTTCCCTTCAGTATTGTGAATGATTTCGTAATGTTGATTAATACTGATATCTATCTATCTATATATATATATTTCTCTTACACGGCACCAAAAAAAAGCTTCATTGAAACTCCTCGAATGGCAACGTTAGAAAATCGACCAATGATTGCTGCTAAATATGTCACATGCCAAATTTAGCTTCGGAGGCTCAACATATAGCACTTTTAAAAACGGAAACAGTAACCAGAGTGAGCATTATCAGGTTGTTCAATTCAGATTCATGCACTAAAAACATGACAATATTTAATTTAAACTCAATTAGGAATTAATTAATTAATTGAAGTGAGAATGCTTTAAAAGGCCGCTGTTGAATTGATATTTTTCTACTGGGAGCTACCTAAACGTCTAAAAAACGTTTAAGTGTTTGTATTGAATGCATTGAATTTTTTTATATTTCGCGTTTATTTATGCATTGAATTTTCACGCTTTAAAATGCAGAATATTAGTGAAGCTGCAAGGCCTTTTAAACGTAATGTAAGAAAACGTGTTCGAAGAGCCCAAGAAAGTGTTGAGGAATGCTATGGAAGACGTAGATTGCAGAGATCAAGTGCAATAATAACTGTTCAGGATGTAACAGTAGATGTCGAAGAGTATAATGACTCAATGACGGAACAATGTAGTTTTTGTAATGCTTACTTCTGGGCCAAAGAAAGAAATTCTTCTGGCAAATATACGAAATGCTGCCACAATGGAAAAATTAATTTGCCTACACTAATGGAAATTCCTGAGTTACTGCAAAAATTATTAAGTGATAGTTCGATTGAGGCACGAAATTATCGAAATCATATCCGGGAATATAATTCTGCTCTTGCTTTTGCATCATTTGGAGCACACATAAAGACACCTCCTGGAAATGGACTGTATTATTTTCGGATTCATGGTCAAATTTATCATATGGTGTCACCTTTGTATAGCAATGATCAAAATAATGCTGGAAACGGGCAGCTGTATATTTTTGATTCACTCTCTGTGCTGGAACATTGTGTTCATTGCTGAGCGAGCGCAGCGAGCCATGGTTCATGGCGTGAACCACATAGGGTTGCGTAGCAATTCTCGGGGGTTGGCGAGCGTTAGCGAGCAGAGGGCGGTGCCTCCTAGTATTAATTATTTACTTTTTTGAGTCTGTGAGAAGAACGGGCATTCACCCATTTAAATTTATAAATCTCCGAGCAACGTTATAAGTGCTGATATCGGAGGAAAAATTGCCTATTCCTCAAATAATACTGCTGTGTGCAATCAAGCTAAATAACAGATAGACTTTGCCAATGGACTTAAAAGAGTTTACGCAAGCTTTTTGTATCTTCGGCAATTACCAATTAATACTTATCTACAAAAAGTAATCTATGTGTTAAAAGATTTTTAAAAAAAAAACATTCCGTTAACTATTATTTCCGTTATCTACCATTTCCGTTACCTACAATTTTTGTAATCTGCCTTTTCCGTTACCTTCCATTTCTGTTACCTTCAATTTCCGTTACCTATACCATTTAAATATGTACTTTGTATTTGGCTTTTAAATCAGCTGTATATAAATATAGGCATTCAATTTAATTTATCGATATAAAATGATGGACAGAACAATCTTGTATCGGCAAATTAAATCCTCATAATAAACCATTTGCAGAGATGCTGACTACTCCGGACAAGCTAAAATAATTTAAAACAGGAAATAACTACAAAATAAAATTTGCAGATATTGAGCTTATTTTGATTATTTTTTGTAAGGTTTAACAAGAAATAACTACGACAAAGTGACGAATTATATAAGCGTTCAAATTATTTAGAAATAGTGGTTAATAGAAACCTAATAAATCGAATTTACCTAACCTAATAAACCCAGAATCATACATTGAGAACAGCGAATTTCAATTGAAAATTTTAGTCAGGACGTTCGCAAATGCAGAAATGACAATCGCTCCTTTTTCTGCAAAAGTTTTAGTAAATCGGTAGCGAATTAAATGATAAAACTAGTGGAATAAGGATAATTACGCATACTATTGAATTTTTGAAAAGTGTCACAGCGAGAAATCTACCAAATAACTTGCATTTCATTCAATACCTTGAATATTTTGTATACAATGGTGAAGAAATTACTTTAACTGAAAAATTCTAAACTAAAATAACTTAAATTTTGTTATCACTAGAAATGTCAGACTAGGATATCAACTTTTCATGAGTACGTTTTGAATTGTATCTTAAAAATGTAATGCATTGGAATAAGAAAATTTAAATAATGAAGATTTGGCGATAGATTAAAATCTTACTTTTTAAAAACTGTTCAATCACCCAATTAATAATATTACTTCAGAAATAGATATTTTTCATATTTAAATATTTCCTGTTTAATACAATGACATAATAAATATTTGTTTTTAATATATTTAATTGGTTCTACTTCTTTGCAGTATATAATTTATTGGTAATTTTGTCCCTTTTAAAAATACTAAATGAAAATATTTTATTAATTATATATCAATTCGAGTGATAGAAGATATTTTAAGAGGGAAATAATAAGCTACATATTAATGGTCGCCAATACTTTGTAATTATGAAGATTAACTTGCAGACTTTATTAATTGGTTTTTAATTGATGAATTTGCGAAAACACATGATTTTGTTGTGACGTCAGAAGCACATATTTGTCAACTTCACTTGCTGGTATTCAATCGAAACTTTCCGTTTTCGACAGAAAATTTATATTGAATTTTTAAAGCAGTGGTAAATTTTGTAATCTTTTATTTTATTTTGATTTAATAAGCTTGATTTACTTGAATTTCGTTCATCAATTTGCAAAAACAATTCAAACTAGCAATGCCAGTTCTGAAAATTGCGCTAAAAAATTAAGAGGAGGAAAACTTAAACTATTTAAATGTAAAACAATGTTAGTATCTCGAAGGAAAAAAATGATAGTAATAGTAAGACGAACACGTCTTACTTTCTTATTACTTTTGACTCCTGTATACTGACTTTCACAAGCATACTTTCACATCAGTAAAATTATATTACGGAACATTATTTAGTTATACCTTGGAGCTCAGCAAGCAGCGCAACTCTACATCTGTACATATACATTGAGAACTTTCTCAATTGCAGTTTTGGTACTTTTTAAAATCAGTCATCTTTACATCTGTTTTCTTGCTGCTTTAGAAAACTTTACTAACTCCTTAATTGCTTAGTTAATGATGTAGACGTGATGTTATGTTTCATTTTTATATCTGGACTCCTTCATTTACATTTCCTGTTCATATATCAAGTTCCAAACTTTGATACAAACATCCAAATTTTGATCTATAATAATATAAATCTATCGGACATGTATGGGTAAATTTATTTCACATTTTTCAATCGTAGCTCTACACAGCACATCTTTACATCTGTTGTAGATTTATACCTGTGCACTGTCGGGGTTGCTTCACCTGATGACCTCTTTTGTTCATCACAATTTGTTTTCTTGCACTGATAACATTTAGAGTCTCCTGATGCCCCCCGTTAATGCAGGTCAGAGTTAAACTTCCTTTCTTAAGTCAGAGGATTTGATTTTTATCCCAATGGTGGAATCTAATTCTGAGAGTCTTTGGGGCTTTCGAACAAAATGGATATTACATTTTAACCTTTACGTTACTGTAGTCTGCTCCGCCGAAGTGACGCTACTGAACGGGTCACATTGCATGTTAAGATATTTGTTTATATTTTAATTTTGAGGCTAGAAATTTTTTCATTCTTAAATAAGGGACACAGAAGAAACTTGTTTGATTTTAAAATTGTTCTGGTCTGTACCAGGCCAGATGGGCTATCACTAATTCGTCAGATCTGACATGATTTGGGGAGATAAAGAAATGATATGACTAAACATAGAATCCAGTATATATGGACAGAAGAAACTTGTTTTTGGACATTGAATCTAGTCTTGTTGCTCGGTACCTGCCCTAAGGATCTCGCCGATTAATCTGAGGTAACAATAGAAGGAGAAAAAAACAAGGCTTAGGAAACAATTTTATACTTATAAAACATATTAAACATATTCAAAATACACTTTTAGTAGTATTATTCCAACATAAGTAAATGGAATATTGGTCAATAAATAAATGAATATTAGCCAGTGGCAGTTTGAAGACAGATTGGGATAGTTATGAAACGGTATCATACTGAAGACTGTTAATTACTACGCTCGAACCCAGAGCATCGTGCGGATGCTGTCAAAACATGGCACTCAGACATACAAGGCATTTCGTGGATGACGTCTAAATACGGTGCTCATACTCACAAAGCATCACGTGGAGTCCCGTTAAGTACGGCCCTCGTATACATACAGGATTGCGTGGATGCCGGCTAAATACGGCTCTAATACACATGAAACATCACTCGGATGTCCGCTATATATATATATACAGGGTACAACGTGGATACCGGCCAGATACGACACTCATTCACAAACTATCAAAGGATGCCGGTTATATACGGAACTAGCATACACAGGGCATCACATAGATGCCTACTTCATAGAACGCTTATAACAAAGGGGTTAAATCCAGGCACTAGAGACCGCTGGTCAAATAACATGTTATGCGAGTTACATTATACTATATATACTCATATTATGTATTCTTTACCTTGGCGTAACCTCAACTGTACTTTCGCAACTTAGGTATACAATGATGAGAGCAAGTATATACAAGTCAGTAATTTTTCAATATTTAAGATAATTGCTGCAGTTCAGACGTGGTGGCTCAGGGAATAGAGAGCTCGCCTCTGAGCGAGGTGATTCTGGTTCGAATCTCAGCAATGACTGGTTGATGCGAAATCCACTCCCAACTCTCTTCCGCCCATAGTGCTGGCGAAAAGTATCCTCCATAGTGGACGGATCATTGGTTAGAGTTTCCTCGCTTTCGGGCTATCCGTGGAAGGTTTTCGTGGTTTTCCTCTGCATGTAATGCAATTGGGGTTATTACCATTAAAAAGTCTAATCCAAATCCCTGTCTTCTGCATTAGTTTCAAAATTACTGAGCAGCGGAGTTGAACATTAGTAGTAATAAACCAGAAAACTTGGGTCTACTGTTCAACGACAGATATAAAATAAAATTGAATAATATGGATTTGCGAAGAACAAAATTCTTTTTATTCCAATTTATTAAAATGTTGATACATTTCCTCTGTTAACACTAGGAAAGAAAATTTTTTAAGTACCCGACAACCTTTTTAAAGCCAATTTTGACCGAAATATATTTTTTCTCTTTTTTATATATAAAATAAAACTGTAGACCTTTCCCATTCTAAGACCTTTCGAATTTTGTTTCTACGTCAAATAAAGCAGAAGTTATTGATTATTTAAAAAACCATCCGTAATTATTAAATTGCGAATATGTCTTTTTTAATTTGCCTCTTTCTCATATTTTCCTTCGGTTATTCTCCTTCATTCTAAATGCAATATATGAACATATTTTAGTTTATATTCTTGAAATTTTGCAGGAATGCTTTCAATATGTATGTTTAGGGAATAGAGAATGAACTAGTGAATTTAACTACTAGTTTTTATTTTACAGCTACAACAAAAATAATTAATCGTAGTTTTCGACCACTTTTTGTCGAATAAGTTTTTATATTTTCCATAAAATATCTAAATATTAATATTATGTCTAATGCGTATTCTATTCCCTAAGTTGAATTTATATGAGCATTATAAAGCAAGAATATTGAGAAATTAAATCATTTTAACAAAGTTATGTGATTTTGAAAAAGAAAAAAAAAATTTTGTTAATTTTGGGCAGTTTTCCCTTTTTCATCACTTTTTTCTGTATTTATATTATGTTTAAATGAATAATAAAAAATTTTGTCTCTGACGATATTTGGGTACCTTATGAGAAAAATATTAAAAAAAAAGTTAATAAAACCTAAAGAATAAATGAGGTTTTTAATAATACCAGAACTAATTAAAGTGCTACGTGTAGTTACGTAATCTAGTGCAGGTTGGCGAAATCTGCACTATTCTCATCATATATCGAACAGTTTGTTCAACCGCACACTTAATGAATTCTCTTGTTTCTGAAATAAAATCTCAATATGGTGAGTAAGTCAATGATTGAAACAATATATATTTAAAATTAGTCGCAAGAGAATTTTGAGGTGGTTTATTTAGGCCAAAATAATTAATTTACACAATTAAAATGTATAAGGTAATTTTAAGTAGCATATGAAGTAATATAATTTGATCTGAGATAAAATTTTAAGTTGTTTTTTTTTCCTTTTTATATTGAGTTTCTTATTATTCGGGGGATTTTCTTTTTTTTTCTTTTCTTTTAACTCTTATTTGCTTTTTTTCTATCGAGACACTAGATAATACTCAACACAAGGGACAGTTATATTTTTAAATTTTTTTTTGTTACTGTTTTTCCATTTTGCGATTTTTTTGATAGGTTAGGAGTGCACAGAACATCTGTCTTCCTTTAGGTACCATTCATTTTCACTTTCTTCGCTATAGCGACCAATCCTTATTTCATTCCGTATCTTTTACATCATCTTCATCATCTTCTTCTTCTCTCTTCCTGGTGGTCGGCTACCAGCTATTGATGGTTAAATATCTTCACAACATGCTTTGAAAAACAGATCTCCCGCCAAATGTGAATTGCGTTCAGCCATTCGATTTCTACATGCTGTAGGAAGCAACGCAGCTAGAACTCATAAACGAATGACTAAAGCGTACAGAGAAGCGCTCGTGAGTGACAGCGATGTGCGGAAATGGTGTAGGAACTTTGATGCTGGATGCACAGATGTTCATGATGCATGCGGCCATGGATGGAAGTCAGTGTCAACCGATGATCTTGTTCAGAGAGTGGATCAAGTGATTCGCGGAAATCGTCAGTTCACAGTTTCTGGGTAGAGTGAATTGATTCCAAAAATTTCCTCGGTACGCTCTGTACCATTGTGAGTGTAAGACTCGAGTACCGCAAGCTCTGCGCGAGATGGGCTCCCAGGATGTTGTCTGGTCATCACAAAAGTTAACGAATGGGCGCCGCATTAACCTTCCTCCAGCGCTACCATCACGACGGAGATGAGTTTTTGGACAAATTTGTAACAGGAGATGAGGCATGGGTTCATTACGAAACTGAAGAAGCACTTTCTAGGAGGAGAAAGTTTCGCCACAGACAACGAGCTGTAAACCAGCGTATGGAATTTTCAGAAAACACAAGCGGCTGCATTCTATGTTGAAGGTAATGGAAAATTGATACCACGCTATGACAAATGTATGAATTGGAACGGCGATTACTCCGAAAAGTAGCTTAATGTTGTATCACGTTGTTCCATATAAAATTTTCTTGATTCTGACTGTGATTTTCTCTACGCGACCAATCAGACATTAAAAAAACTAGCCCTCGTATTTGCTCCTGTATTACAGCCAGCTTGATTAAAAAAGAACTTTCAATTCGAGTAAAAATTTGCTATTAAAAGGTAACTAAATACCTTAGGATATAGGTAAAGATATACCTAAGTATGTTGGTCCAATGAAATTGTGATTATATATTTAAGATTCAGGTATAACACTACCTGATACATCAAGAAATTTATGTAATACGAGGGTTATTTTTTTCAAGGTCCGATTGGTCGTGTAGAGAAAATCACAGTCAGAATCAAGGAAAATTTTTTAAGGAACAACGTGATACAGTATTAAGCTACTTTTCTGCGTAATCGCCGTTCCGATTCATACATTCGTCGTAGCGTGGTATCAATTTTCCAATATCTTCATCATAGAACGCAGCCGCCTGTGTTTTTAGTCAATTCTATACGCTGGTTCGCAGCTTGTTGTCTGTGGCGAAAGTTTATCCTCCTAGCCAGTGTTTCTTCAGTTTCGTAATGAGTCCATGCCTCATCTCCTGTGACAAATTTGTCCAAAAACTCATCTCCGTCGTGATGGTAGCGCTGGAGGAAGGTTAATGCGGCGCCCATTCGTTAACTTTTGTGATGACCAGACAACATCGTGGGA